CCTCCGAACAACGTCTCCGTCGTGGGCTTCACCCGCCGGGTGAAGAAGAGGCGATTACTGGCGACACGTTTTTGGGGAGTGTCAGTGCTGGCACGACTACTCGCTGGTGAACCAGTAGCGGTGCTTCTTCACGGCGTCCTTGTTTGCACTGCATCGAGCGGGACGACTACAACAACAAAGCACCACCATGGCCTTTCCTGGTGCGAGCGGCTCCGCCGCAGGGTATAATCTTCTTCATCCTCTTCTGAGTTTCATTATCAATATCATGATGTTCCTAGGCAATACTGCTTTCATATTCAACATGCTCTGTTTGGTTGATTTGGATGATTATGCTAGTACTGGTTTTCTGGTTCCTTTTATTTTTGTGATCATCGTGATCTTGATATTTGAGAACACATCTTTTATATTTATAATCATGTCTGTGATGCTTCAGCTATGTAAAACTATGTTTCACATATGTTTTGGCTCTATAGTTTGTATTATCATCATGTTAACATTTGCCATGAATTGTTTCTGTCTTCTTATTCATGACTTTACTCTCCTTTTTGTTGCGTTATTTTTATGGATTAAAATAAATATGAAAATGCCTTATTTTTCAACACATACACGAAACGAAATGAAAATTTTCTTTAATAAAGAAGGAGGTAAAGAATCGATGAAATTTGCATTCTTGGGTCCGGTGTACCTTGCGCGGAGCTGCACAGCGATGGCTTGAGGTCACGCAGCCACTGGATTTGTGTGAAGAGGGAGCCGGAGTTCCAGACGGTCTTTCCGAGCCCCCGCTTCTGGAAGAAGTCGGTGTCCAGCGCGGTGGCGCCGGTGATGGCGAAGTTGGCGCCCTGCGCGAAGCTGGCGTTCTTGGCCTTGGACGGCGGCAGCAGCGGGAGGCCGAACTCTTGCGCTGCAGGAGCAGAGGGCCAAAACCCATCGAATTCCGAACAGAGGCACCTCCCAAGAACGCACGCACGCGAAATGTTAGAGAAGCCAAGAATTGGAGAAATTTACCGATGAAATCAACGACGAGGCGGCCGTCGGAGCATCTGCCGGTGGGGTAGCCGAAGTAGGTCTGGCCGTAGGGCAGGCGCGCGGTGGCGAGGTAGTCCGGGATGCCCTCCGTGACCAGGTTGCCGGCGTCCACCAGCGAGTCCCCGAAATTAAACACCGCGCGGTACCTCCCCGCCGCCGCCGCCGCCGCTAGAAATGGGAACGCCGCAAGAACCGCGCAAACCCACATCGCCCTTCCAGTTGCTCCCCCATCTCCCGGCATGGCCTGTTCCCCAGAATTGGCGCGAGGAGTCAAGCGGAGCACGAGGAGAAGGAGAAGGAGAAGAAGGGCGGGTCTGGCTTGGCCTTGCTTGGGCTCTTGCCGGGTTCGTGAACTGGCTTGGCTAGCCCGTGGCTGTCCGTTTGCTCTTGTAGGCCAGGCAGGCAGCCGCTGCGAGAGACGAGCCAGACTGCTATGGACTGTGGAGTGCACCGGTTCGGGTGGGGGAGCTTGGATTCTTCTTGCGCCCACCACCCCCAGCCGCAGCTGCGCGTGGGCGACCGATTGGACGCCTGCTCGGTGCGGCCCGCGCGTGCGGAGGGGGTGGTGCCGGTGCGGCTGGAGCTGGCCGGACGGACGCGTGGAGACGGGGAACACGCGTACGCGAGCAGGAGCAGTGCATTGACTGCGGCCGTGGCCTGGCGGTATTGAATGCGGTTGACTGGGACGGCGAGGGTCGAGGGAGGACGGAGGCGGCGCACGGGCGCGGAGGTGGTAAATGGCGTCGGGGCGGCGTGTCAACGTGTTCGTACTTTCGCCTCCGATTCGGGAGAGATCATCGCACTTGAGCGCACACACGCAGCAGCTGTCCTCGATCGGACAGATTGATCAATGATGCATGAATTCGTGCTCTAGATTGGGCATGGCAAATTGCCGTCATGTCTTCGCTGGCCAAGTGGCGCGTGTTCACCAGCTAGTAGGAGTAATAGTAACCCAGACGTCACTGTGCGTGAGCTGGCAGTCTTTGGGCACGTATAACTCATAAATAATAATCTGTTGTTGGTATATTTTTGGAATCCATTTACTGATAACTATAAAATAGATAGCTCATAACTGTCTATAAGTTATTTAATGCTTGTATTTAGCTACAATTAAATAGAGATATGATCCATGTATACCAGTGCGTTGTTCTAGTTGATACAAAATCGTTCTAGGCTGCGTTCGGCTGGGAAACTTCAGCTGGCTAGGGTTCTTTTTTTCCAACTGAAACAAGGTTTTTCTCTCACAAAATACCAGCGGAAACAGTAAATCCATACCAGCGTGAACAGTACTTCATCCCAGCCGAACACATCCCTAGTTGATACAAAATCAAGTATAATTAGTTTGAATATGACTGTAATATTTTTTTAGACTAGTAATTCTGGCAACATAATCAAACATGAATATATTTTTCCGTAGTGTCATACTGATACGAGTGGATTACGTATTTTTGCATTTTTTATTGAGCAAAACAATTTTAAAAAAATATACTAATGGTTCCACAAAATAAAATATGCAGAGAACCTTCAAGGCGTAACATATGTTGCATCACTTTTAGGTTATAGTTTTGGTTGAAACGAACGTAACAAAATTTGAATCATAATTTTTGGATTCGATTTTGATTTTATTTGAATTTTATAAGTTTTAGTCAATTTGTACATTCTTTGGGAAAAGACAAGAAGCTAACAAAACACTTTGCATTGGAAGCCGTGAAGTCTACGTAAATCTTGTGATCAAGTTTCACTATTCATTTTGATGTTTATATTTCATTGCATTTGTTACCTCGAACCCTCCACGTTTTCCAATTCTTTGCTATCAACTCCTTGCTAAATTAGATCACGAACTCAGGTACTCTCGGAACGGCTGGTATGGCCGGCCGAGACAGACCTCGCCGCCACCGTGCCTCTGGACGGCTGCCTCACTCTCCCCCACTTCAGCTCCTCTTCTATCGCATAGATAGGCAGAGGATGGAGAATAGACCACGCCCACACGAGATCCGTTCACCCGTAGTTGATTTCTCGAAGCATGGGTTGAAGCCGGCATGTCGCGAGACGACGACCCCATCCCATCTGCTGCTCGCGAGGCAAGTTTTCTGCAAATTTTGTCAGATGCAAACGGCTCAAAGAGCTCCGTTGTACGTGTCCTTAGCATTCCCTGACTGCACACGGGTGTGTTTGCTTAAGCTGTGAGCTATGAAAAAATTATTGTGAACTTTTGGACCGTGAAAAAGCTACGGTGACAAAGCTGAAAACTGTGATTGAAAGAGCGGCGAAACCGATAGACACTGCATAAATGTCAGCGGTCCTACGTGACATCTATGACCGTGCATAAATGTATGTATTTTGACCCGTATTTGCGGATTTGTTTTCATAAGGAAAACAAAAGTTATGAAGTTGCGACGACATCATCATGGCGTCACCTTCTTGTTTGGCCGAAACGGCCATATCCATATCCTCCTCGCGAGCGTCCTGCTGCCATTGTTGTGCTTGTGTTACACCTTTGTCAGTACCTGTTCAACTTGAAGCCAGTATGACAGGAGCTACGCTCAAGGGGCCTCCGGCCTTGCCGTTCAGGTCATGACGCTCGGCCCAACAAAAGATGTGTCGTCCTAGAATGGAAATAATAAATGGTAATAGTACGTGACATATTTTTTTCATATTAGCTGGAATTATCGAAGCTGAGCTCTACTTTTCTACATGGACATGGTGCAGTATTCTCGAGCCAATGGTGACATGGTGCACGTCGAGCATCCCGTCCACTCGCGGGCCAGACGTGATGGGCTCCAATCGTAACATGCCGTGTCCAGGCCGACATGCGCCCATCCCGTAATCAAGTCCTAGTCTATTGTGCCGGGCCGACACGGACACAACTGGCGTCGGGCCATGTTGGCCAACAGTAGAGGGCTTCAATCCGGTGCACTGGGCACAGCCTATTGGGCCATCTCTCTGTTTAGGGTTTTCCTCAAAAAAATCTCTCTCTGTTTAGGGTGGGATTAAATCTGGACCATTCCTTTTGGATCCAACACCCTCCCCGCCGGTGGATTGTTCCAAAAGGCATTCCTGACTGTCGGCAGTTTCCAATGCCTGGCAAATGACCCAGCAACCAGCAACCAGCATCAGTCCAAACCGTGACCACTTGCAGACATCAGTTATCTTGTCCAGTTGTCCTCCAAGGACGAAGGCCAAGTACATCCTCCAGTCACAAAAACGTTCAGATAAAGAATGTCGTTTGCTTGCCGAGCATGTCCTGGACAGAAATACCATTTCATGAGCATGAAGTTCTTGCAGTGCTATGCAGAGATAAGTTGTTACAAAGCCAAGCCGTGCAGCATTCGTTACCTGCAGAATGCAGGACTGGTGGTGTTTCAAATTGATCCATTCCATGGATTATTCAGATCCAGCTACCTCACTTAGTTGTCAAGCAGCCATCGTAATCATACCAGTTGTTGGTATTTCTATTTCTCACCCGTCCAAATCAAAGCCAGGGCATGCTGTGTTCTGTAATGTCGGTTATCATGAACCAAGAACCAATGGAAATTGCAAGACTACAAGACTCTCTCTCTCCGTTACAAGACGTTTTGGCTTTTTAGATACATAATTTTTGCTATGATATCTAGATATACACTATGTTTAGATGAAAAAGCTAAAATGCCTAATAATTTAAATGGAAGGAGCACCAGAAACTTGGTTACTTTTATTATCTATCTCATATTATTGCCGTAAAATTTGAAAAATGAAAAGAATCAGGAAACATGTCATACACGGTGCATCTGTACTCCAGCCATTTCAGCTGGGAACATATCTATACCGGCACGGTTTATACAAATCTTTCAATGAACAGACTAAATAGCTTTACTTTACCCATAACTTAATTGTGACTTGAGAACCGGAACATATCTTATCTATTGCCCGAAACACTCCTTATATCTCTAGCCGCAGCAGCTGCGGCGGTGTTACATACAGTTTAGCTATCTCAATTATGACTTGAGAATTGGGGGTTCAGCATACGGGCCATTCAACCAGCCATCAGCGACCTTCCTGTATGCAGCTTCAGTCATGTGGATGCCGTCCCAGCTCACGTACGACGACGGGTTGGAGCACACACTTGCGCCCTGCTCGCCACACTTCTTCTTCAGGTTAAAGTTGTAGTTGCCCTGCCCTCCTGCGCCGCAGCATGCTTGCAAAACCGTGCTGAAACCTGCGGTAGCTCAGAATGTTCATTTCATGGAACGAAAAAAAAATCAGAACCATAAAATCAAATTGCAGGCAAACGATGGTTTTCAATCTGCAAATCACATGTTTTCTCTGAAGGTTTCATGATAAGAATGCAGTCTGAAACTCTTTGAACCCACCAAGATATACTGGAGAAGCATAACAGGCGACAGCGATAGGGAGAACTCACCAAATTTTCCAGGGCTGACGACAAACTGCATTGCAGCCTTGAAGTAATCCCCATACATGATTTTTGTCTTGGGGTACTTCTTCTGAAGCTCATCAAGCTGCTGCTTCAGCTCCCTGTTGTGGTGGAAGGCGAGGCGGTTGTACCTCCGAAGGCACCCAGTGCGGGCGTTGTAGTCTGCTTTGCTGCTGGTGTTGTACAACGTCAGGTACACCGGGAAGCAACCAATTGGGAGAACGCCGGGCACCAACAAGTCTGTTGCCCCAAGCTCGATCAATTTCTGAAACAGAAACATTTTCTTAAAGTTTGCAGAATGTGACTGAAAATTAGGGAAATACAATTAAAAACATGTTGTGGAACTAGCTGTACTCGTAAGTATGGGCGATTCAACGTAACAGATGTATGAAACCGTTAAGCTAGTTAGAGATGCACCACCACCATCACCAGTGTCATCGAATAAATCTATCATGTCGTCTTGAAATTTGTGAAAACAAACCATTGTTTACAACCGTGTCATGTGACGGCCATTTCATGATGGGCATGCGCATAGCAAATGATTCCTTGTTATCTTTACCCACCGTACCTTTTACATGCCCATTCTCTCTTCATTGTGCAATCATGTTCTACCTGAAGTCCCCATCCTTGCATCACATGGGGCTGCACTAAACAACAATCTGATGGACTGTGCAGAAGCTCAATTCAGCATGCAAAGTACAGAACCATGCCATCACAAATTTCAGGTGTAATTGATTTATGTGAAAACAACATTTTTTTTTTCCATTCTAAAACAGTTGAGCTATAGTGACTTCACATTAAGGGCCTAGTCAAAAGATTCTTCCATTTACGAAGGCATCATATCTGTCACATGTTCACCCCTATTATAGTGGTTACAAAGATTGACAACCCCAGTTGATCAGTTAAATAATATCCCATTTAGATCTACAGATCCGAGTCAAGAAAATGTGCAATCTATATGTGAACGCTTTTGCCTAGTAGGTAAACTACTCACTCCTCTCACTGTACCCCCCCCCCCTCAAAAATTAAACCCACATAATTCAAAGGTATTTAATGAACAATTTCCACATCTAAAACTCATAGCACACTATGTATCAGGCTTGCAATTTCATGTTTCCTCTTTTTTGTTCCATAATCTCCAGGTACGAAGATGAGTGTGGCCTGAAATCAGCTGTACCATACACTTTATATCACCCTGGTGAACTGAATCGCCAACCACGCCACTTTTTACTACTTCAGCAATGTATATGCAGAATGGTGTATGATGCAATGTAAGGATCATCATCTACTCTAGGCTGGTTAGTGAACTTTATACTCATAATTCAGGAATGCTACCTCAACGCCGTTGGCGATGGCCTTTGTAACAAGGGGCACATAAGTCTTGATTTCAGAAAACCGGACACCAGAAAACAGAGGCGCATTGTAGTCATTGCCCCCAAACTCCCCGACCACAAACAGGGACTTGCTGAAGTAATCCTTGCAGTCTGCAATTAACACATAACCAATCACCAATGAAGCGTGATCCACTAAAATTTCAAGAATATTCAATGCAGGTGAACTGGCGTGGGACCTTGCTCCGATTTGCAGAGAGACGGCTTCATGTCCTGGAGCCAGCCGATCTGGGTGTTGATGGAGCCGGTGTTCCAGATGCGCTGGTCGATGCCGTGCGCCTTGAAGAAGGAGTACTCCAGCGCCGTCGCGCCGGTGATGGCGAAGTTGGCGCCCTTCTTGAAGTCCTTGTCCTTGGCCTGTGAGGGCGGTGGCAGTGGCAGCCCGAAATGCTCGGCTGCAGAATTGGCCAAAGATTCCCATCAGAAAAGGGAGACGAGAATTCACATGACATCATCCAAAGCTACTGCACAAATGTACAGAAGGTCATGATTCACAAGGCAGCAATGCTGCTCTCAGTGAGGAACACATTGCCAATTGAAAGGTTGCAGTAGGAACATATTTCCGGTCCGATCTATCTTTCCTAAAAGAAAAAGAAAAAGGGACTTTGATTGACATCAATCCTCTGCTAACTCTAGCAGAGCCGAGACAGCAATAATTCACAGCGCGGCAAAGCAGAGGCCCTTTTACCAGCAGTTTTCTACCGCTCGTTTTCATCTTTTATAAAGAAAGGTCGAAAAAATCACCCCTTTTGACCTCGCCCTCACCTGATTAAAAGGTTAGCATCACAGAGACATGAAGAACTGAGAGCAAAGAAATAGCACTTTTATCAACAAATTTTAGTAATCACCTCATGTTTTATTCCTTTTTTGCAAAAAGAGAGAAGTTATTTATTTGACTAGATTTTAGCTTTGCTCCACCAAACTTTATTAAAAACAAAGAATAGGGGAACGGAGTATGGAGCAAGGGAGATTGAATACTGAACAGGTCAATTTCATCTTGACCACCGAAGTCAGAGCAAGGTCTCTCTTGACACTCAAATCAACACTTTTGGCAACACAGACATTTGAATTAGATATTCCAGAGTCCACAAATATAAGTAGAGTAGTTAGCAAAAAAGTAATCACAGAAGCAAAATAAAAAATAGATGCTGGTGTTGGAAAGAAACTAGAACAGTACGGTACAGTACCGAGGAAGTCGACGACGAGGCGGCCGTTGGAGCAGCGGCCGGTGGGCTTGCGGAAGAAGGTCATCCCGTAGGGCGGGCGCGCGGTGGTGAGCGCCTTGGGAGTGCCGTTGACGATGAGGTTGCCGGCGTCGGAGAGCGAGTCCCCGAAGCTGAAGATGGCCGTGTACGACTTCTTGCTCCTGGCCGCGGCGCAGGTAGCCGGCAGCGCCGCCACGAGCGCGGCGATGAGCAGGAGGAGGAGCACGCCCCGGCGGCGCTGCGGCGCGTGGGCGACGGCCATTGTGGTTGCGGGTGTCGGCAGCAGGCAGCTTCCCGGACCGACGCGTATGTGCGGTAAGAGAGGAGAGAGTGAGGGGAACCGGGGGCAAAGTTCTTCGCTTGTGTGGCGCGTTGCTCTGCTCTGCTTTCGCTTTATATAAACTGCGGCTGCGGGAGTGAACAGAGTGTGAGTGTGAATGAGATGGCCGGTGGCCGGTGTGGCCTGTGCTGGATGGATGCTTGCGCCTTGCAGAGCTTTGCAGGTGCTGCAGTGCAGCGCGGCGCAGGGCTGAGGTGTGGCCGCCGCCGGCACTGTTTTGGGACGACGTTTGACGATGACCCCGTGTAGTTCTAAGCCTGCCCTACAGCGGTAACTACTCCGTAATAGCGTTGGTTCTAGCTATAATAACCAGTTAAGGCTGTGTTTGGACCCGTATATAATAGCTATATGCTAATACTTATCTTTGGATCCAAAAGGTGTAGTTAATAAAATAGCTATTTTTTAGCTGGACTTCTAAATGATAATTATCTCATTAGTTTGACCAAATCAGATAATAGTAGCTAATAGTTATATTAGTAGCATTTTATTAGCGATGACCCCCCAGCTAATATTTAGCTAGCTAATATTAAATATGAGCTATTAGCTAGTTAACTATTAGTAGATAATAAATTCAAACAGTGTTTAAGAGCCAGGTCTAAGTCTAACCAGCTAATAGTTAGCTACTAAAGTTACTAGAGTGGAATTAAACGGGTCTAATAAATAGAGCAGCTAATTATTAATTTGATATACAACTAGTGATATTTTAATTAGCTGCTCCAACTTAGCTAATAGTACAAAAAAGACGATTTTACCCCTACCTCACGTGACATTGGCCTCGAACAGGGCCTCTTCGTTGGCGGCTCCTCCATGCTAGTATGCTAGTGACTTTGGACGAGCGAGCGAAAGAAAGAGGCACGTCATTCTTGTAGAGGAGGACAATTGCGACAGGGGAGAAAGGGCGGCATTTTTGGTAAAAGTACAATTCATCCACCTGTTAGTTGGTGGGATCTAAATGATCCATAACTAGAACCTATTTAGATTGACAGAGCTAATAGTTACCCCTTTCATCCCAAAAACAAGTATACTTTTAGCATTCAAAATTTATCCCATAATAAGTATGCTTTTCATAGGCTAAATGTTGTTCTCTTTGCGCGCACGCTGGGCTTTGGCCCCGTTCCACGTCCTTCGGGAGCCCCATGATTTCATACGACCCTAGAATGACTTGGCTAAACCCTTCGACGACGGCTAGCTTCTTGTCCTTAGCTCGGCGCTTCGAAGGTCTCCTAAGGATATCTTCGCGGGAGACCAAAATCGCCTAAGTTTTTCCTGCAAGAACAAGCATCATCAGTAAGACAGCAGTTGGGTCAAGTCGATGCAAGGCGGGGACCTCTTGGGGATACGGCCAGCTAATTTTAGCTTAGAGATATTAAGCAACTAATTATTAGCTACTAGCAGATCTAAACAGGATCTAACAAAAAAACTGCAACAGTTGTACAAGTGTTCAATGTTTGGCTGGATCTTTGATGAAGAAAAAAATGGTGAGTAAACACAGTAGAAACTTCTGATAGCTACCATCAGCCAATGGATGAAATCACCGAAGCTAACATTTTGACCATGTGCGTACTAATTATCATTGCGACAACGTTCAGGATAGATTAAGCGTACGTGTGGTGTGGATTTATTAATCCAACGAACTCTAGTCTCAGCTTGTTCGGCTGGTATTAAAGCTGACTGAAGTTTTTTTTTTTTGTTGTGAAAGAAAATACATTGTAGATACACGATAAACCGGCTGATAACTTGGAAGCGAACAAGCCCGGCAGCGTGGGCGTGGTATTGGCAGACGACAGGAGTAGTAGCTTTGGGGTGGATCCCCGATCATAATGAGATGCTGTTCCTCTTCTCTGTGATCCTGCATCATTATCAAGTGGATCTACGCGCGGGTTCAACTCCGACTGGGCCCACCTCTTTTTTTTTCAACTTTGCGAGCTCCAGCTCCCGGACGCATTTCTTTCTTCGATCGCCTGCCCTGCCTGGTCGTTCAACCGTCCATTCATTTCCCCTCCCCGCGAACTCCTTTTATTTAATTTCTACTAGACACTACTCGAAATGGAAACATCTCTGCCGGTGCTATTAAGAAATACCCACAGAAAATTTTGAAATCACTTTTCTTGATAATGCATCCACAGAAAATTTTTTCTGTAGTTTTTTTTTGACGGGGAATTGGAAACGCAACAATACTTGATGGAAACTGTCTGTTTCCTTGATTCCAATGACGTGAAGATGCAAATCAACATAAATAATTTGAAAAAAAACGAGGACGACACCGTATTTCAGTTTATTAAAAAAAAGACTGTATGGAAATTGGCGAAGGATTTTAGCATTATACCGTGGATGACTGGATCTCATCATTGTGCAACTAGGGAGCCAAGAAAGGTGGCACGCCATCAGTGTGGCATCTCCTCAGTCATCATTGTGTGTACGAAGCGCGCTGAAGGATAGCATGGATCTTGTAGCAGTAGTGCAGTGCAGTAGAACTTGCGGAGGAGCTGGGACACCCCACCGCAGTAGAAAAAGGATGTATGCGCTCTTGAGGTCAACAGATGCTCCAGTGTCCCCATGCTCGTTTGTCCGTCCCAACTCCCAACAATGCACCCCAGCTCAATCCGGAGGGACGTGCACGGTGGCTACAGCTATTAAAGGCGTCGCGGTTGTTGAGCCATAACTATTGGTTAGTTGGTCACGTACGTAGGTACAGTGCCCAACAGCCAATGTACCACTACTACTCTTGTGTACAGAAGCTTCCTGTTTTGTTCGAGCCTTGCAATGGAGACAAGAGATTACAGTGTATAGAGGAGGATAACTGAGCGAGTAGTACACATGGGCGTTAAAAAATGTACTAGTAGCAGAGTACTTTGTGTTTTTATAATGTGCATTAACTTGTTATGGCACGGGATTAAATGCGTATCCTGTTTAGGGCCGTGAATTGCAGAGTAAGAAAAGTCACTGTATGCCACAATATTTATTTGCCGCTTAGCTCCTCGCATGCAACGCTCCTTGGGACGTTTATCTGGCTCAAATCCACCGTCGATTTAGATAGATCCAAAGATATACACATGGATGGGGGCATCCAGGAAAATTTTGACAGGAAAGATATACAAGTCAGAGGTAGCGCGACATAAAAGAAGGGGTTGATGCATCAGAGATGTTGATAGCGTGTTCGGCTGCTCAAGTTCTAGCTTATTTCAGTTTATTTTCTCTCACATTTTTGTTGAATCATCCGAAATAATATGAAATATACCATGAATCATTCGAAATAATCCGAAATCTACCGTGCATCATCCGAAATAATCCGAAATCTACTATTGATTCTCTCTCACGTGACACTATTCTCACAGAACCCTATTGAGTCGCCTTGCACTCGCACGGGAGAAACAAGCAATAGGATATGGATATGAATGAACTCAACAGGAGCTGCGGGATTAATGCTCTGCATGTGCGGTCAACCAAAATTGCAAGCTTATCAATGCTGGGAGGACGGAGGACGGAGGACGGAGGAGAGGAGAACATGAACGTGCATTGGCTGCCAACGCTCTGACAGCAATCACAATACTCCACGGCATGCCACATGCACCGACTACTCAGCACTCAACTGGGAGACAAAGATCACTGTGCAAAGTCTCTCTCTCTCTCTCTCTCTTACTGGCAGGTATTTCGAACACACACACATATATAGTATAATCCTCAATGTCTGAAGCTCAACGGCTAGTGTTAAGTGGAGTATTGTTTTTTAAGGAACCACTCATATATATTAAACACAACACAAGGCGGCCAACGTGGCCTACTCTACGCACAGAGGGTAACTAAGATAACCAGAGCACAAGGCAAATTTGCAAGGCACTTGTTGAAATGGCAGCAACAAGCAACGAAAGCAGAGTCATCTGCCTCGGCCAGAACTAGCAAAGAATGCGTTGATGAGTGGATGGATCGGGCACGCAGGTTAGGTGACGAGCGAGAGCGAGCAAATGCACGACGCACACGCACCAGCCTGGAACGGAATCGGAATCGGAATCGGTTCTCTTCCCTGCAGAGTGCATGCAGGGGCAAGCTAGCTCTAGCTGCAGTAGTTATCGCCTGTCGGGATGCGCGGGGTGTGTGGGTGTGGGTGTGGGTGTGGGTGTGGGGGTGGGCCTTGAGCAGAGCACCACCCAAAAGGCAAAAGCTGCGAATAATGCGACCCAGTAGGTGAGGCAAATCTATCAAGCTGCAGCCACCGTCCGTGGCCCCTTGGAAACTTCCAAGACCATGGATGTGCTTGCAAAAAAAAAAAAAAAAAGAAAAAAGCGAAAGACTAGTGATGGAGAGGGATTCAAATGTGAAAGACAAACAAAACAAACAAGGGATGCCAACAAACTAAGATATTACCTTTGTTCCAAACTATACTTCACGTCGGTTTTCTTCTAAGTTAAATTTTCCTAAATTTAACTGAATTTATAGAAAAAATGCCCAACGTATAAAGCATACAATTATATTCATTAAATTTTCGTCATGAGAATAATGTTTTGACACTATATTTATTTGTCCTTGTTGATGATGATATATTTTATTTCAAATCGAATTAGTCAAAACTAGTCCATCAACCCGTGCATGTGCACCGGGTAATGGTATATAAATTATATCTTCATTACTTTTATTACGTGTAAAAGGAAATACATTACTTACTTAATAACATGTCATGGGCAAATAAAGTTTCCATAATGTTGTGACTCCACTGAACTATATAAAATGAGCCCTTCAGTTAGTAAGACCTTATGCTCCCTCTATTAAATGAGCCTTTCCGAAACACCAAGCATCTTAAGTTTGACCAAATTTATATAATAAAATAATAACATTTATGATATCAAATAAGTATCATTTATGATATCAAATTAAATTCTCATAGTATGCGTATTTGATGTCATAAATCTTTATAATTCTTTCTATAA